ACCGCAGATGAGCTGCAGAAAACTAAAAAAAACAAAAAACTATGCATATATAAAAAAAGATATCCCAAAAATTTCACAGATATATTAAGGACTACAAGAAATATTTTAGTTTTTTATGGTGCAACTGCTCAATCAGATGTGAAAATTGAACAAAAATAACTTTAATTTCACTTCTCTGACCATTTATTTTGTCCTAAAAGTTTTATTTGTTTTGTATTATTGTGACATGCAGCTATGTAAGCCACGAAAATATCACTAGTTAACTTCTGCATTGTCACTTGTGTAGTTAATGTGCTCAAAAATGGGACTTTTCATGATTTTTTTTTTGGTCATTTTTCAACTCGGCCATAATCAGAGATTGTTAAATCTACTTTTCCAATAATACAGATTCTAAATCAATGACATGATGAGAAATGATTTAATTGTTCCTGAGATATTGCTCATTGAAAGAGCCTCACGTTTCAATTTGCGAAAAAAAACAAAACCTGCTGAGATTGAGGCAACTAAAAAAAAACAAACAAAAAAACACTAAGTTATCTCAGAAAGTATTTGATATATGAAGCTATAGTTTCACATGTATGCTTATAAGTATTCATGTTTTATGCTATGAACATTTCAGGCAAATCAAAGCAGAAATTGTTTTAAAGATTTTATGATTTGTTTTAGGGTTTAATAATGAAACTACCACTAAATTATCTTTAATAGTTCCCGAGATTTTGTCGTTTAAACAGCCTCAAATTTAAATATGAAGAAAAAATGTGCTGAAATTTGATTGACAGGAAACTTTTTAAAAAGAGTTTTTGATGTAGTAAGCTAAAATTTTACAAAAATCTGAACAAACGTCAATATTTTTATGCCTTAAAATTTTCAGTTGGGACAGTTGAAAGATAAGTTGTGAAACCTGAGGCTGCAGCTTAACGTACATCCGCTCATGAAGATGATCTTGTGCGTAGCGTACACTGCAGGTCCGTCAGAAATTTACAGCATCCAGAAGGTGATGGATGACGATTAACGGCAAAGTAACTGCGAGGAATCCAATACTCCTCCTCTGTTGTTCCAGTCAGCACATCCGCGCCGCGCAGCATCGATTTACAGCGTTGGTTCTTAATTTTTTTTTGGCTGCGAGCTTAGCCCGACCATAAACTCGTTGATTACATTTACATTTTAGGCGTTTAGCCAACACGCTCAATCAGGAGGGATTAGCCACGAGTGACGATGTCGGGCTCAGGAGATCACACTGCTGGATGTTACGTGGTGTTGAACCCGTGACCTCCCTGTTCCTGGATGGCCTCTCTAATCGCCGCACCGCCGCGTCGTCAGACGGCTTCATTAGGCGCTGATGGCACATTTATATGCCGCCCGGAGCCCTCAGCTCATTCTTAACAGGAGGTTAATGCAGTGGCACGTGTACTCTATACATCAAACCGGCAAGAATACATTTAAAGAGGGTTTTATAAGCCTCAGATATGCCTTCGCTTTGAACCGTCAGAAGCTTCCCCGGCAGTTAAGTGTGTTGAATCCGTTTGCAGCGGCTTGAAGGGACTGAGACGCAGTCAAATAACTCATAAAATACGACTGTCCTGGGTCAGCTGGTGTCCAAAGCAGACAGAATTCAAGAAGTGTGCTGCTGCACCGTCTCAGATTGTGTTTGTTTATGTTATTATTTGAAACTCAACACTAAGTTCTGTGAAATATTTAGATTAAATTTTGAGAATTTCAGACTTTTTCAGAACCTCGAAAAACTGTCTTGCGGGGAAGCCATCTGAAGGGTTCAATATCTCCTGAAATAAAACTCGAAAAGCCACGAAATATGGTGAGGAAACAGATTAAAGTGTTCTCTGCAGATCTAAAATGTTCAATTGCTCCCGTTAGATGATATTTTTTAAATTATTGGTCCTTGAAAATCGAAATAAAGGTGCAAAATTTTTAAACAAACATGGCATTAGTGTCTGAAAAATTTCCTATACATGTACAGTTATGAATTTATCCATATTTCATACCAAAAAATAGTTTTTGATTGACATTTCACCAACTTTTAAGGCCTTTAGCATCAGTAAAATTTGATATGTGTTCAGTATTGTAAGCCAAGGTTCCAGTTTTTTGCTGTTTTGACATGTCAGAATAAAAATTTGGACTGAAACCACTTTTTTTTTGTTTAAAGGGTTCATTATCTCCAGAAATAAAACTCCAAAAGCCATGAAATTTGGTGAGGACACAGATTAAAGTGTTTACTGCGGATCTATAACATTAAATTGATCTTATTAGATGATATTTTTTTCAATTATTGGTCTTGGAAAAAGGAAGAAAGTGCCGAATTTTTAAACAAGTGTGGCATTCATGATCCTGAAAGTTCCCATATGTGTACAGTTATGAATTTATCCATATTTCGTGCCAAGAAAACAGTCTTTGATTGACAGTTCACCAACTTTTGAGACCTCTAACGTCAGTTTAATTTGATGTGTCTCCAGTATTGTAAGCCAAGTTACTGTTTTGACATGTCAAAACGGAGATGTGGACTCAAACCACACATTTTTTTTAGCAGTTCAATATGTCCTGGAATAAAACTCCAAAAGCTATGAAATTTGGTAAAGACACAGACTAAAGTGTTTACTGCTTATCTAAAGCATTAAATTGCTCCTATTAGATGATCGTTTTTTCAATTATTGGTCTTGGAAAATGGAAAAAAGTGCAGAATTTTTAAACAAGTGTGGCATCAGTGTCCCAGAAACTTCCTATTAGTCTATATATATTAATTTATCCATATTTCAAACCAAAACACAGTCTTTGGTTGGCATTTGACCAACTTTTGAGGACTCTAACATCAGTTTAATTTGATGAGTGTCCAGTATTGTAAGCCAGAGATCTATTTTTTTTAAATATTTTGACATGTCAGAACGGTGACGTGGACTCATTGTTAGCAGCACAACAACTGGTTTGCATTGAGGTCTGTTTGTTGTTTTCTTCTGTAGCTTTTAGTACAGCTCTCATCGGCTGTTTCGTTGTCACAGCACTGGCAATGATGTGTTTCAATAAGCGTGAGATCTGTTGTGATCTGTTGAGTGTTCATTTCATGTTCTCAGATCTGGGAGTTTTAGTTTTTTTTTTTACCCTCAGACAAGCTATTTTAAAGGTTCATTATCTCCTAAAATAAAACTCTCACAGTCATGAAATTTGGTGAGAACTCTGGGATAATGGTTTCTGGCAGATCCAAGTGATTGAATAGTTCCAGCAGGTACCAAATCTTTAATTACTGGTTGTTAAAAATGGAACAAGAGTGGCGCTGAGGCCCCAGAAAGTTCCTGTAAATGTGTATGTATGGATGTATCTATGCTTTCGACTAAAATTCTAGTCTGTGCTTGACATCTCACCAACTGCTGAGGCCTCTAACATCAGTGGAATTTGAGGTGGACTCATTTGCAGGGCAACAAAAGCTGGTGTGCATGGGGGTGTTTATATTGTCATTATATGTGCCGACTACAAATTGCTTTCTTGTTGTCCTCATGTTGAAATTTAACAACATATGAGGCCTATTCATCAAAAACTGCAACCTTGGCTTTCTGTATTTGCCACAGATCTAATTCTGCTAACGCTAGAGGCCTCAAAAGTTGATAAAAAGTCAAGCAAAAGCTGAATTTTTGTTGGAAATATGGATAAATCCATAGATAGAGACTTACAGGAGCTTTCTGGGACCTCAGTCCAACCCTCCAATGAAAATTTTGCACTTTTTTCCTCCGTTTTTTAAAATCTTGGAGCCATTTAACCATTCGTATCCACTGGAAGCTGTTTCGTCACCAAGTTTCATGGCTGTGAGACTGATAATTCTGAAGATTTTGGCTTCTTAGATTTTATTAAGGGGGGGAATTCCAACAACTCTCATGTATGGAAACCAATGAAATCCTCAAAACTCAGCCACAAGTATTCTACAGAAGTTAGTTAGAGGCTGCAGAGATAGAAATCTGAGATGACACGATGTGACTGTCTGGTGTGTTTTGCTTAAAGGGACGACAAAGTTAGAATAAGACGCTCCTTTGTGAGATCTCCTCAATCATTGCTGTAATTTCGATTAATTATCTACACGTCACAAGTCTTCTTTTGTACTCGAACCTTCAGGCTGCCGCCGTCCGTTAGTCGGAGGAGGAAGTGCCACGATTAAATTCTAATTAAGGAAAAAAGTGACTAATCTGAACATTTCCTCTATGTTTTCTGTACATCTAAATAGACCTCTGTGTTCCTCTTTCTTCTGTTCAGTCTCATGAACGTCTGAATTTAAAAATATACTAACAAGCTTGTTCTTCCTGTGTTGTCTGTCCTTGGTGGTAAAAACTCTCGGCCATGGACGCTTTATTTGTTTTTCACAGTTGAAGTGAGATTATAAAAGAATATAACGTTGCAGCGTGCGCTAATCTGTTGCTGCTCTCGTGATTTTAGGCAAATAAAGAGCCGTTGTGGGGGTTGTTTGGAGTTAATTATCCACCTTTAGTGTTCTTAAAATCCCGCCTATTGTGATTGTGCAGTGAAAGCGGGCTTTGCATTGAGCTGGCAAAACAGTAACTCTGGAAAACCTGCAGCCAAAGAATAAAATTTGATTTGAAACGTTAATGACAATTAGCGAGCTGTACAGTGATCCTGATGTTTTAAACTGTGGCTCCACGTACGCTGCATATTAATGAATGGGAAAATAAATGGAATGCATTCGTCATGGTTGGAAATTCAAAATATTCTTGATGGCAAGTGAAGGTTTCTAAATATTCACATCAAACCAGCAGAGAGAGAAGTTTGTGTTTAGTTTCTCAGAGCGTGAACGGCTCCAGCTCTGCACAAAAGTGAAATAATAGTCGGATTTCTGCTCATCAGTGAAAACTTTGTGCTGTTAAATGTCTTCGGCAGTGATTCAGAACGCAGGAGGCCTTTTAGCTTCTCCGTTAGCAGAGCTTTGTTAGCATTCATGTCTGTTTGCTGTTACTGTGTCGTTGCCCTGACGCGTGTCTTTGTTTTCGCAGAGCCAACACGATTCTGCGACTTCGCTTCAACCACTTTGCGACCGAGTGCAGCTGGGATCACCTCTACGTGTACGACGGCGACTCCATCTACGCGCCGCTCCTCGCCGCCTTCAGGTTGGTGTTGATGCGATCGCAGGAAGCCTCTGAGTGAACTCTTATTTTTTTCTCATTTTTAAACATTTGAAAAAAGTTCAGTTCTGTCCCTTGTGTAGAAGTGAAGAGCTTTGACCCATTGTTTAAATCCCATGACTCTAGGAAGGAAGGAATATTTTGCAAACCACCTAATACTGGTCAAAAAAACTCTACAAAATAAAAGACCCGACTTAAAAAACAAGTCACATGTGGAGTAAAATATGTATAAGTGGCACTGAAACCATTTTTTGTGTTGTTATTGCAGCGGTCTGATTGTTCCTGAGCGGTACGGGAACGAGACCGTCCCTGAGGTGGTGTCTCAGTCCGGCTACGCTCTGCTGCACTTCTTCAGCGACGCCGCCTACAACCTGACCGGCTTCAACATTTCCTACAGGTGAGAGAATAAAACTCTTTTCTGTTGCCATGGCTGCATCCAGTGTTTCCTTGTTGGGTATGTAAAAAGAAAAATAAGCACGGAAAGACGAAGGTCGTGGGCTTTTTAGAAATTCTTTTTATGCATTTCATATTTAAAAGAAAAGCGCGGTCAGCTTCTGAGATATATCAGAGCATCTTCAACAAGGCTTTGGACAAGCTGATGTTACAGTAGTGTTAGTTTGTCTAAACCGTCTGAACCCCAGAGCCCGCCTGCAGGTTTGACAGACATGTTGTCTTTAAAAAAAAAAGACTAAAATGACACCATTTATCAGAGCCAGAGAAACTGTAAAAACTGAAAAAATCGGCAATTTGTTGAGATTCCGACAGTCCTCAACCTCATTATGTGTGATGATCAGCTCTGTGAGGAAAATTAGCCAAATCTAAGATTAAACTTGAAATATTTCATCAAAATCACTTCATTCTAGGTGTCTTGTTTAAAAAAAAAATGCCAAAAAACACAACATTTACACCAACTGGATTCTGTAAAAACCTCAAAAATCTGCACTCCTCACCAGAACTGAGAAACAAGAAGTGATTCAGCTGCAACCAACAGCTACATGACAAAAATCTGAACATGATTCGGCTTAACTGCAGGCAGTGTTACACAGAGCAGATAGAAGAGAAGTATGGAAACTATTCAGAGAGATCAATAAAACAAATGCAGCATGGCTCAAAAACTGTGTACAGAGAAGCAAGTTGTTGGAGGATACATTCAGCACGGTGAAACATCTTTGTAAAACAGATGTAGAGGCCTGTCTGCAGTCTTTGTCCAGCTTTGGCATTTGTGGGTACTTGGAAAATGGATTTGAGTTTTTTCTTTCAGTTCTTGTGAAACTAATAATTGATTATCAGAGCTAGAAAGTGTAAAAACAACAGGAAAAAGTTTGGATTTTTAGCTTTATATAGTGTGAAATAGGCCTAGTTTGTTGAGGTTGCAAATATATAAATAAGATTTGCAGGATGCAGAGAAATCATTATTTTTTTAAGTGTTGGACATACTATTGGTGTGGGTGCTTGGAAAAAGTTAGACATGTTGATTCCAGGTTTAAAAGAAATCTAAAGTACACGATCAGAGAAATGCAACTTTAGTTTTTTTTCCCCTTTTTTGTCAGTCATGGCATTCTGACTATGTGACACACAAGACATTCTGGGTTTGCTCTGCTTGTAGACATGATTGTGTTTCCACAGAGGTACAGGATTTTATATTGCAGGAAAAAAATGTCACTACTAATGTGACAGGAGCTGAAGAAATGCTTACAAACTAGTCGGGGTTTGGAGGGTTAAACAATATTCTCAGGCCTCTCCTTGATTTTTTTGTGTACTCGCTGCAGTGGCAGCTTCCACACATCAGCTCGTTCTAATCCTCCGAGCCGACGCGTCGTCCTGCCGAGCCTCAGGGTTTGCATCTCTTGGGGTCCGCGTGGTGTCAGTCACCGGATAACAAGCGTCTGCCAAGTGACAAATACGTCGACGCTGAGCCCTGACAGGAGAAGCCTCAGTAGAAATCATTCCTGAGCTGTGTTCAGGTGAAGGGCCCACTTCGCCGGCTTCCTCTGGACGTGATGACGCATACAAACCTTCAGAGCAGACCATCGTGTCATGTTTGCTGCAGTGTGTTGTTGCCGCATCGTTACGCCAGCATCTCCTGTTCACACTCACTGTGGCATGATTGTGTTTGACATGTCTGGTACCTGCCTGCTTTTTAAGGGACACTAGAAGAGTTTTTTTCTGCTGTATCAACTGAATTATTGCAGAGAGTTTTCCGTTTTCTCGGTTATATTTACAGTTGTGGTGACATTACAATATCAGAAATGATCTCGTCACAAATTCTGGATTCACAAATAATAGTTCACAAATAATGGAAACACAATTTATTATCCTCATTGTATGAACTGCTGCAAATACTCTAGTTGGGCCCCTGTGAA